GCCCCAGGGAGCCCGCCACGGCCGCGCCCCGGGCACGCTCGGCGGCGCCCAACGATGACCGCTCCCTGGCGGCGCCTCCGGAGTCTGGTTTGGGAATACTGGGCCGGGCTCCTCGTGTGCGCCTTCTGGATCCCGGACTCGCGCGGGATGCCCCACGTCATCCGAATCGGTAAGGGCTCCCTGGAGCCAGGGGTCGGGATGGAGGGGCCTCGGCGTTTTCCCAACCTCCCTCTGGGCTCCCGGGGTCGGTTGACCACTACGAGCACGGTCGGGGTGGGGGGTAAAGTTCCCACGCCAGGGTCGCGGGCCCTACTTCGTGGGGAGCGGGCCAGCGGGCCGCGGCGGCGGGCGAGGGGCCCGTGACACGCTCCTGGGGAGGTCAGATTTGGTGGCCTGTGGCGACGGGCACCAGCTCCAGTCCGACTCCCGGGCGCATTTCTGGGCAGCTGCCAGCCTTAGCGGCCGCAGACCGAGTTCTGAGAGCGGAGCAGGGAGCCGGGGAAGGCGCCAACTTCTCTCTTTTCCCCTTTTGCGCCCGGCGGGCACCTCACCCTACAGTGCAGGGCTCGAATGCGCTCAGCAGAGACGCACCGTGCGGTTTCGCAGGAGGAGGGCAGCCGTCTCCTTTCTGCGTAGCTGCGCTCGGATCTCGGTGCTCCCCTCCCTCCAATGAAACCCATGGCCTGGGGCAGGAGAGTGGCATTCCCTCTGCAGGTCGCCCGCGCAGGGCCCTCGGGTCGAGGCCTGTCCCTGGCTGCGGGGAATCGCCGGTCGGGGCGCGGAGGAGGAAGGGACGGAGCCCGCTAGCGCACCGAAGGAAGGCGGCCAGAGGGGAGCGAGTGCTTTTGAAAGTTAGCCGACGTCCCTCCGCAGCTGGCGGCGGCTGGCGGAGCTGCGCGCTTCTCTGGGGTTCGGGCGGCTAGCTGCGGACGCTGACTCCCGGCTTTAACTTTGTTGTGGCCGCCCCAGGCACCCTGCGGGCAGCGAGCCGGGCCTGGTCGGGCTGGGGTCTGCGCACGTCCGCTGCCGCGGCCCGGGGCCCGGGGCCCAGGGCCCGAACCTGGGCCCAGCCTGGTAATGCGGAGCCGCCGCCAGGCCGGAATCCTGGACCGCCTGGGTTCTGGAGGCGCAGCCGCTGCTCCTGGCAAGCAGAGCTCGACTGGGCCGGGGCCGCCCACCTCCCCCGTGGCTCCTCTCCAGGCACGGACTGTGGGCTGCCAGAGGCCTGAGGAGGGCCTGGAATTAAAGTAAGCTTGGGCTCCTTACTAGACGAGGTTTTTCTCGCTTGCGGTTCGAACCCCCCACCCTCCGCCTCAGGAGGATTGCCTCCGCCCTGCCCGCTCCGGGAGCCCTGCCCCTCCAGACTCTGCATCTCAGCTCCACCCACGCACGGTCCTTCGTTTGGTCCATGTCCAGGATCTGGCAGGGGGACTCCCTGAGGCAGAGGAGTCCAGGCACTCGAGGGGACTCTGGGGACAGCCCTCGGTCAGGTTTAACCCTTTCCAGCTACCATTGCACCTCTCAAGCCCTAATTCTCTAGGGGTTTTTGCCTGTCTCCTTGCCTGCCCAGCAGGTCACCAGTCCAGGAGCAGGCTGGCCCAGTGGTGACCTCCTCCTTTATTCCCTCCTTCATTCTCTTTGGGAGGGAGGGGTCTCCTGGACAGAGTGCCCTTGGAAGGGAACAGGGAGGACCTAGGAGGTATTGTGGGCCCAGCTCAGGTATTGCAGGTCCCTTTTTCCTGATCCTGCTGCCCTGGAGGTTGGGGCAGGGACAGAGCAGGAAGCAGGTGAGTGCAGAAATTGAGTTGTGCTGGGGGTGAAGGGGTGAGGTACAGAGTCCTATAAAGTCCCTAGAGGTAGACTGTCCCCTAGGCTGCCTGCCCTTTCTTGGGCTCAGTGTGTAATAATGTAATTAAAGGATGGCAGAGCCCTCTTCTCATCTAATCCTCTTCTAGCAAACCCCAGGAGTAATTAGCATGTAGGTCTAGGCCATTTATATCCCAGCGCCCTGCCCCATTTGACTCCCAGCCTGAAGACTGGGGTGCTGTGCTGATGTCAAACGTGACCGCTGGAGCTCTGCCAGCCTGGGCAGAGGAGGATGGAGGAGAAAGCTCTGAGGCCTCTGGGTGCCTCTGAGGGTTCCTAGGGAGCTGTGCATCTGTCCTTCAGAGCCCAGGCTTGAGTTCCGGCCAGGGAGCACAAAGGGGCCCAGCAAAGAGAGTCCCAAGCTGAAACCCAACCACACTGCCTGGCCCAGGCCCAGTGCCACCTCCCTTCCCTGCTGCTCACACCCCTGGGTTCTCAGGGCTTTGGCTGGGGCTGTAGGAATTGCAGGGCACTGGGTGCTTCTCTCTTCCATGCTGGAGGCTGGTGTCTGAGCTCACTGGCTGTGCTTAGAGCTGAAGCCTTCCCTATCAGGCGGGCTTCGCTGCCACCAAACACCAGCCCTGGAGAAGGCTTTCCTGCAGGTGGACAGGGGCTGGGGCTCATTGCCCCTGCCCCCTCTCTTTGTGCCTCTTTTAGGGGCTGCGATTTCCTCCTAGCCAGGGAGAGGGATAGCTCAGCAGTGTGTTAGAGTGTTCAAACCATCCGTCTTGAATAGATGAATTGCATTGCTCTGTCTTTTTGTAATTGTGTCTATCAGAGGGAGAGGTCAAGGCATTGATTGCTTGGATGGTTTGCAAGTAACAAAGGAGAGCGAGGGAGAGAGCGAGGGAGAGGGAGTAATTGGATTGTAGTCTGCAGGGGAAAAATGATCATTGATTATTTTATATGACTGGGTGGAAGATGTAGTCTGTGTATGATGATCAAGTGTGGCTCATTGAAGGTTTTCGAGGCATATTGTTGGGCATTTTGTTGTTATTATCATCGTTGAGATTGTTCAGATGGACAGATCTTGATGCATAGAAAGCAGTGTAATGAATGGACCCTCTGCCAAATGGGACTCAGTGACCTCTTGTGGGCACCTGGGTTTCCTGATTACATGACCTCAAAGTCCAATTGCAGTGGGTTCTGGGCTGGGAACCAGGAGACCCGGGCCATCTGCTCTGTTCGGCAGGTGGACTCCCATGCCCATCCCGAGCCTCAGTTTTCCCCATCTGTCAACTGTGGAGCTGGCCTGGGTGGTTGGCTTGGGCTAGTCGGAGGTTTGGTGCGGGCTGGCAGGGCCTGTCGGTGCCATTGTGGCTTTCCCCGGCAGATTCATTCTCATTCCAGATGGTGGGATCTAGGGCCAGGTCAGAACTGGGAACAGAGTCGGCCAGTAGCGGCAGCAGCAGCTGTGTGGTGAGGAGTCAGCATGAGCAGTGGATCGCTCCAGCCAACCAGGGGGCAGAGGGGGGAGCCAAATGACTGCAGAGACATAAAGCAGGTGTTGTGTGTGTGTGTGTGTGTGTGTGTGTGTGTGTGTGTGTGTGAATGGGATGGGAGCGGAGGGATGGCCCAGCTCCGGACTTTTCAGGCATCTCCAGACTTGAGCTTCCAGCTTCTGAGCCTGGGCCAGAGCTTCCTGGACATGCTGGGCCAGGAGGGGGAAGGGAGCAGCGGCAGTGGCCCAGGCCCAGGGGAGTGAGGGGCCCCTCCCTGGGCGTTCCCAGCTCCACTCCTCAGATCAGCCAAGTCAAAAGGTCCTGAACGCTGGTCTCTTGAGTTTGGGAGGCGCTGTGTGTAAAACAATGAGCGGTCTCTCCCCTCTACTGGTGACACGCTGAGCAGACAGGAGCTGAATGAAGATCAATAGGGGTTTCCCCCCTGGAAGTAAATAGCTTCAGACAAGACCTGGGAGCGGCCCAGGGGCCTTCAACAGCATTAACTTGAGGAATTGCTGCCTCCACTTTCCATCTCAGCTGTTCCTGTCAGCCCTGCTTCCCTCCATCTCCTTCGCTTAGTTTCCTCTCTTCTCACAGCTGCCCTCACGCACACCCAGCGGGACACTAGCCTTAGTCTTTTGACGGCAGGATGACCTGGGGTTGTAGAGGTGGCCTGTGCAGCTGACGGCAGGCGCTGGGGCCTGCCAGGGCTCTCCCGAGGTCACCCATGTCCCCTGCCAGTGGACGCAGCTCTGGATTGAGAAGTCCAGCACACGGTGCTAATTTTCCGCGCGTGCGCATGTGTGTGTGTGTTGGGGGTGTTGGAGGGGCGAGGTGACTCCTTGTCCTCCGCCTCATCAGAACAGTGAGCCTCCCTGAGCCATGAGGCCCCACAGGTCCTGCGTTTCCACCCAAAGGAAGGAAGCTCAGAGCCCTGGCTGTAGCGAGCTCCTCCTCCTCCTGGGGACTTGGGCACGGAGGGGAGTGACCGCAGGGCGGTTTTGGACGGGCATTATCTGGAGACCTGCCTGTGCTTCACGGGCAGGACTGCGTTTCTGATCTATGGGGCCCAAGTCCACGCCATCCCACCACAGTCAGCAGCTCTGCCTCTAACTGCTGCGGCAGGGTCAGCCTGAGCCTCCAGGACCCCCAGAGGGAACTGCAGCAGGGGATTGCCCCACCTGGGTGGGCAGTGGGTCCCACCCTGCCACAGAGAAGCCTGCAGCTTCAGCATCAGAGCCCTTGCCCAGCTCCAGCACCTGGCAGGAGAGGCCTTGGCTTGTCTCTCAGATGCTGGGGCGCTGAGCCTACTGCTTTGGGGGTGCCGGATAGGCCAAGGGCCTGCTGTGGGGTGGAGCAGACAGAGACCAGGCTGGGCCCCTGGTGTGGCCTGTGTGACAGGAGCTGCTCCGCTTCCAGGTGCTGATTCCCCGGCAGCAGCACCAGAGGGCAGTGTGTCTGTGTGAGGCGGCTGTGTGCCTGCCTTCGGCCTGGGGACCCACCTGGGTCTGGAGCAAAATAAAACTAAGACAGTAGAGACATCCGCAGCCTTGTTGTCATTTGTTGCCACTGAGTTGGTCCCCAGCCCTGGCAGCCTTACCTGTCGCAGAAGGGCCTGTGCCATCTTTACAGCAGTCCTACTTGAGCACGTGAAAGGTGGCGGGAGCCCTGGAGGTGTGGTGGGTATGCGTTGGGCTGAGATCCGCATGGTCGGCAGTTTGAAGCCACCAGCAGCTCCGCAGGAGAAGGACCGGGCTCTCTCCTCCCGCTGGAACACCCACAGCGGGTCGCTGTGAGTCTGCAGAGACGGATGCCGGTGAGTTTTTCATGAGGTGACAGGCACAGAACCGGGTGCTTTCCC